CTTTTTCCCTCCCTCCTCCATCCTCCTCTTCCTCCTCCTGTTTTTAGGCACTCCTTTGCCTTTGTCTCCATGTCCTTAGAGCTGCCACCTGCCTGGACTCCTGCTGAGTGGGTGCCTCTACACAGCATCATCCTTCACATCGCAGCCAAGCCGCCTGCCTCAGGGAGGTTGGTGTGAGGACATGTGAAATAGGAGAACATCTGGTTCAGTAAGTTATTTGGTTAAGGACCATTCCGTACCATAGAAATAACAAACAACGAGGAAAATGCTAAATTAAACAGAAAGACACACAAACGTTAATGAGCAGGTGAGGAGGGAGATAATAACGGAGGTCAGAGCCTGTCAGGCACCGACTGATGGGCCATTAAAAGAACAGCTCCAGCCTTGGAGAGGGTCAGCCTCGATTTTGGAACTGGTAAGAAGAAGGAAATATGGTTAGCATGATTATTAAGGGATATTTGAGGGGGTTTGGGGGCCTGCAAAAAACTTACTATGAGATGTTACGGGGAAGGCCCAGAGACACAGAAAGGAAAGGATCGGGGTGGAACAAGTATGGGAAGATGGTGAGGAAGGAGGATGGAGGGGCCAGAGATGTGTGAGCTGCTGTCAGGCAGGACATTCACCCAACTGAGCCCTGCCCCTGATCCCTGCAGTCTGGCCTCTCTTCTTTTTAAATCTCATTCTTAGTTACCTTTTCTGTGTCATCCCACTATCTTGCGTGCCAGCCCCTGGCACACAGTCACCAGTCACCCTCCCAAATGCTGTTTGTGAGTGTGCCGAGTTTCAGACTTGAAGTAAATACAAAGCCTCAACTGCAACAAGAAAGAAAATGTGTTTTATTAAGTAATTACAACTTGCCAAGAGGTGCTCGACACAGGCAGGCTACTAAGCAAGCCCTACAAATAAATATAAATCAGTGGAACTAGGGTAATGGGGGAGAACCTGCAAAGACCGTAAGGCAACTCCATACCAGCTGCTTTCCAACAGCCTTCGCTTGTATCAGACAAGGTGAGGAACAGCAGCACACTGAGTTACAAAGTTGTCTTTAAACAGTTTGAAGCCAGTCAATCATTTTCAACACCTTGACACACAGGAACCATGCCTGAAAACCAAAAGGTTGAGGTTCAAGTGTCTTCAGAGCTGGAAACACAACTGTCCACTCAGGCACCAAAGTGAAATTTAAAATGCTTACACTGATTTTTGTGTGGTGCTTTGAGCTGCTGTGACTGTAAAGCAATTAAATAACCACAGTATCACTTTCAGACAATGCTGTTCCATAATAAATTCAAGGAAAGGCTGAAAACATAGAAAACCAGCCTAGAACACACAAATGCAGCCTTTATTTCCTCAAAGTAACTGGATGAATTCAGAGAGGTTGCACCCTTGCCATTTCACTTGTAGCTGTCAAACACAAAGCCTGAAAAGTAGGTCATGGAAAAGTTTGGTTTACCTCCTTTTATGAGTTTCAGTGGGCACAGAAAGCATTTATCCTTGTCTTGTACAAAGCCATGAAGTGAATTAGAATTAGACTAAGGACATCAGGCTTGGGCAGCTGGTCAGCACTTGCTCACACGGAGCCTTGCCACCATCCATTTGCTGAGCTGCTGCAAATGGTCACTGAAAGTATTACAGCATTCCCTGATAAGAGGAATACCAACAGATAAGAAAAGTACCTTGGAAAGTATGTTCACAGAATCACTTTTTATTAAGGCTCCAATCAGCAAAATGACCTCTATTTCCATCTCCAGGCAATAAAATGAAGAAATGTGTTTTTATCTCCCTCCCTTTAAAGTTACTAAAGTTCAGCAATAAAACAAGTTTTTGTAATGGCATTCAGAAATAAGTTATCTTGATATGAACTCTTGTGTCACCCCTAAAATAAAGCACAACTTTCCCAGATTGCTTTCTTCCGACACTTTTTCACAACTTAGGGACCTTAAATTAAGACACAATTAAGGTAGCAGTTCTCAACGTGTTAAAATGGAGGCAACGGGAGAGACTTTCCATTAAAATTTATCGAATAAGAGAAAATACCAACACATTAAATTATCTTGACAGTTTTTTTGACTGAAAGAGACAGATCCAGCATAACAGTAGCAGAGGAAAACTTGTTAGTACTCAAGTAACAGCTCCATGCTCAACAAGCACAGCTGAATACCAAAGCCACTTCAGGAAGAACTTTCACAGGCTGGAGGTGTAGGTCTATGTGAGCCTCATGAGGTTCATCAAGGCCAAGTGCAAGGTCCTGCGTCTGGGTCAGGGTAATCTGGTATCAATACAGTCTGGGGGATGAAGGCTTTGAGAGCAGCCCTGAGGAGAAGGACTTGGGGGTAGTGGTGGATGAAAAGCTGGACAGGAGCCAGCAACGTGTGCTCCCAGCCCTGAAGCCAACCATATCCTGGGCTGCATCACAAGAAGTGTGGCCAGCAGGTTGAGGGAGGTGATTCTGCTCTTCTACTCTGCCCTGAGGAGACCCCACCTACAGTGCTGCATCCAGCTCTGGGGTCCTCAGCAGAGGAAATACAAGGACATGCTGGAGCAGGTCCAGAGGAGGCCACAAAAATGATCAGAGGGATGGAACAGCTCTCATGTGAGGACAGGCTGAGAGAGTTGAGGTTGTTCAGCTTGGAGAAGAGAAGTGTCTGGGGAGACCTTATTGCAGCCTTTCAGTACATAAAGGGGGGCTGTAAGACCAGTGGAGAGAAACTTTTTACCAGGGCCTGTAGTGAGAGGACAAGGGGCAATGGTTTTAAACCAAAAGATGTAGGTTTAGATTAAACAGAGGGAAGAAATTCTTTATGCTGATGATGGTGAAACTGTGGCACAGGTTGCCCAGTGAAGCTGTGGAAGCCCCATCATTGGAAGGGTTCAAGGTCAGGTTGGACAGAGCTTTTAGCAACCTGGTTTAGTGAAAGAAGTCCCTACCCATGGCAGGGGGGTTGGACTACATTTGTTTCTCGTTTTTTAAAGTCCTTCTTTAAAAAAAGTTAAGCTCTAAAAAGTTACTTGCAGTTTTAATTCCTGTTCTTGAATACCTAACTATGTCTTTTTTATAGACTGAGAAAATTACTGTACCAAACTTTCTCACTTATTCTGTGTGTGCTGTTAGCAGCAATTTCTGCCAATAAATTTGAGGTAGCTATACAACACATCTGTTTTTGTGAATTTTTAAAAGACGCTTTTCATATCTGCTGGAAAGTTCCTTTTTTAGGAATCTAAGAAGGTAACGAAGTGAGATCCATGACCTTAAAGTGACAAAATAGATTATCCTGATAATTGTTCTGTTCCCACTATTTGACTGCAAAGGATGCAAAAAGTCCTCTCTTTAAAAGTACATCCAGAGCAATCAAAAACCCCACAAAATCATAATTAAAATCTGGAGTGAAATTTACTGTAGCAAGGCTTTATTTCTATCGTCACAATAACTATTTATATGTCATTAAAACCTTCCTGGAATAAAAATGTTTCACAGCTGATTCTGAGTACTGTCCAAGTTATTTCTCTAACAGAGCTCATATAAATTTAAGCTGAAAATTTCCAAGTAGTCTAAATAAGGTGACTAGATCATCATCACCTATTGTCAATGAGATCGTTTTAATATTACACTGTATTATTTATTTTGTCTTGGAGCTGTAACTCCGCTATTTTGCATCTTGAGTTGGCCACCAACATAGGTTCAAATGGAAGAATATCCGTAAGACAGATGGCCAAGTGTGCACTGCTAATCCATGCCTAAAACTTAATTTAGACATCCCTTTGCTTTACAATCTACAGGCAGGAGATATTAATAACATTTTTGTGTAATTACCATGAACACATCTACTGGTTTAGATATTATTTTGTTCTACAGGTCAATTATCTAAAGAGTTTTGGTATCTTAAGGTATTTTACTTCAATTCCTTAATGAGTGAAGGCGAGCATGGTACCTCGCATTCACCAGGTGCCTCAGAGTAGGAGCACATGTATGGACAGCTTCTGCAGAGCTGATGTCACAGCAACATCTTCAAAGCAAATGTTACATGTTCACATTTAGAAGAAATTAATCGTGCCCAGAAGAGCCAACTTCTCTCCATTCAGAATAAACGGTGTCCAAATGACAAGATCGGGTGCTGATGTTGACAATGTGACATTTGAAGTTAGATGAGATGAGTTCTGCCCAGAAATCCCACATATCATCTGTGTAAGCTGCTTAACCTTAAATATTACATGGTACAGATTTCATGTTCTCCCCACAGTTTTATACTCCCTGATCCTACAATATGTAAATCCATAATCTTTATTTTCCTCTTCTCTGAAAAGGCATACGCTACCAAGTCATTTAATGCCTTCTCCTCAAGTAGGAGGAGGTATTATTATTATTATTAATAATTATTATTTTGACTTGCACCTGACAAAAATACTTTGGGGATACCTGACCTACTGCTCAGAAAGACATTTTTGTTGTGACTGTTTCTATCACAGTATCTAGTGTTTAATTCTGCAGCTTAGCACTGGTCCTTGCTACTTGGTTGGTTGGTGTCCTTCACTAAACTCTCTGCTTGTTATTCTTGCTATTCTCCAAGGGAATTTTGGCCTTTTGGCCTCCCTTTGGCCCTTTGTAGTCTCACAACCCTTAGCTATACCAAGACACTGTAGCTGACGTTAGCCAGGGCCAACAAGATTATATACTGTTTTGAATAAAGATTGATGTTGTTATTTATGATGGACTTTGCACACAGTTAACCCAAATATATGATGCCCATTTACAGGCTTTTTAGGTTTCTGATGTCAAACCATTTTTAACTTGGAAAATGGGGGATAATAAGACTTACGGTTATAGCAGGAAATTCCTATGTCTATAATTCCTGATTTCTCTACATTTCCAGTATTCTTCCTTCTAACCCAAAATGACATTGATACTCAAGGTAAAACAGATTACACAAATCTCATTTACTTACAGATTCTCACAAACAGCTTTCTAAAAAAATACAAACAAATCAGAACATAGAACAATAACAAAACTAATACACATAAACTTTCACTTTATGGACTTCTTTGTCTTCGCATTCTCTTTGCTTATTGTAATAATAGAATGTATTGTTCCTTCTCTGAAGTTTCTTAACAAATCCAGTTTCTGGCCAGTACTCGACCTATGAATAAAATATAAAGGGTATAGATTCACCTGAACATGTTCACATTAAACAATGTCCGTGCATTATATTGTAATGAATACAGGGTATGCTTCCATGGGAAAACCTCATTCACATCTAAACACTACTTTGCTATTAATGTGCTTAGCTTTTTTAAAAAAAAAGATTAAGAGCAAGATGTCAGAAACCAGTTTTCTAGTCTAATATAAAAAAACTATGTGATCAGAAAAGTATAGAAATAAGGACCTAGAAATAAGGAGCAATTTAAAAAGTGGACTAGCCAAAGCTTTTAAAATACCTCGTTTTGGAATAAAACATTGATGCTATTCCGTTATTCAGTAATCTAAAAGGCTGCAAGATTCCACTTCTCTTAAGACTGACACATACTTAAAGGTTTTTTCAGGATCCTTCTGATCATGAAAAATATGCTTTTCATTAGTAAATTCATAAAAATAAAGTAGAGTTGTATGCACCATAGTCTCGAAGACAGCAAGATCAGTCCATCCTGGTGCTCTTCAGTGTCCCACAATGTGAAGCTTTAATGAGCACTTGTACATTCAACAGCTTTATGGCTTTAGTAGCTATCTGCAGCTTGAACACCTATGACTGCTACTGATCAAATTGAACCTTAAAAACCAGGTAATAAGGATCTTATGTCTCTTCCAGGCAGGGCTGACAATAGAATGTCAAACGAACTAGAGCAATATCTAATCAGAGAGTCCCACAATAGTCCCTCATCACTTACCTTATTACTTTAGGCATTCAGTTATTTGCATTCTCTGTCTAGACATAAGAGCCTTAATATTAATTCCACCTATATTATAATTGCACCATTAAGAACAACTGTATTATGGAAACATAATATGGAGTAAACAAGACCTTTCAAAATGTGTCAGCTGAAAGAAAACCACTGCTAGATCCCGGCAGGTTTGAACAGCATGCACGCTCACTTTACGATGAGTAAGTGGTGTTCTTTAACTTTCATCAGGGTTTAATTGTTCATGCCATAAATCTCAAACAGACTCATCCTGCTACACTAATTACAGGATTTCCTTTCGCACAGTTAAAGGAATTTACACCACAGCCTTTACAGTGTTATCTGAGCCCACAACAAAAGAATAAACTGCATCTGACTATGCACATCAACGTTTTGCTGTGTTTTGAGTTAACTGGATGAGGAGTGACTTTCTTAGGAACATTCTGCACTTATGTGCACAACAGGACATTAAAATCTTTTAAAAGTGGATATTTTCATACCATACATGCTGCTTTGGAAGATAAATTACAGAGCTCTAATAAAAAGAGTATGTTGTTTGTTCTGTTAATCTCTTTGTTGCTATTTTGAATCTCAAGCAGCCACTGAATATCTGGCCATTATTCATTAGCTCATTTGGTGTGCTAGGGAGCACTGCCATCAACTATAGAGAGAAAGAAACCCAAGTCCTTGATGTTCTCTGTTGATAAGTGCCTGTGTCACAACTGCCTTTACCACCATTGGTATCAAATATTTCTATTGTGGACAGTTTCAACAGAAGCCAAGTATTGAGTGTGCACAATGTCTGATTATGCTACCACGTCATTCAGCTGTAAAACCGAAGTTGGTAGCAATGACACAGGACACAGGACTGGCTCCCTGGACAATAAACGAGTTTCCTGTCAGGTCTATTGGCAGAGTAAGGGGGAAACTTCACAGAGAACTAACTTTGATAAAATCCTTTCCTCAAAACCAAATTATTCTTTTACAAAGCAGCTACATCTATTCAAAGAAATCTATAATGCTTCTAAGTGCACAAGAGAGGGTGAACAAAAGCACAGGCTGGGGAGTGTTTCTGTTTCCCTTCTGTGAAATAAGTTCTTCTGCACAGTTAATAATAGCTCAAGAATTCAAGTCAGATCTGGAAGAAAAAACTATCAAAAATTAGCCTAAACTAAATGAAATAAGTGACATTTTTATTTAATTGTTTCACACGAGACAGAAATTTAAATAACTCTTGCAGAGTTCTAAATCTTACCATATCAACTTGTTTTACTTGTTTGTATTCAATCTCATCTCTATATCCAGCTTGCTGAAATCTGTATAAGTTCTCTACCTCATCTGACCAGTTTTTGGCACGATGCATAGATTTTGGTTTGATGTCAGCTTCAGCCATGACTCCAGAAACTTCAGACTTTTCCCTGAAATTAGATTTTAAAAAATTAAACAGAGAAGACAGAAGCAAGCAATTTTGTTAGGGACATATAGAAAGGGTAGAATAAAATTTAAAAATAAAGGAATTTATAGACAGTACAATATTATCTTGCCCTCAAAGTCTGAAGTTAAAAAAGAAAAATGTTATAAGCAGCTGGAATCAAATTAAATGCACTACTTGATCTCAAACA